TTCCATTGAAAATTATTATAATACTCCGTATTTTATATCAGAAAATTAGAATTTCCACTTGATAATGTTAAAAGAAACTTCGTTCAAGGGATGCATGCCACTTGGCTTATGAATTTCTCTAACAAAAAAGAAATCTTTATACGCAGTAATTTTTCTAAAAAAAACCTATAATTTTACAATTTAATTATTTTTTTTATTATTATTTATGGGTCAATGAAGGAGACACACATGATAAACATTGAACAAGAATAGCTGTATTGCATGTAAAAACAGGGCTACGTGCCACCTCTAGGTGTAGGCTTTGTACACACAATTTTACGTGCCAGCTCATGCCAAAACAAGACACAACTCCCAAAGCAAATGTTAATTATGACTTGAAATCTAAAGTAATGGCAAAGGGTATACTTCAAATGCACGTATCTCTCAATCCAAAAGTGATCTTGTGGTAATTCAAGTTGGAGGTTATAACTTGTTTTAAAAGCTTTTTAACGATAAGTTTATGCCCAATTCTGATAAGAAACGAGAAAGTTAGTGCCGTTTTACGAAAGACTGTCGAAACTGGAGAAGGGACACAGACATGCCCTACATAACACGCCCGTGCCTAGTCGAATGAGACATTTCTACATCCTATTTTTGGGTTTGTTTATGACGGCTACTAATGATATTTCTTGGGGAATAATTTAAGGCTTCTTTAGGGTTTTCTTATGTTATATAAGGAGTCGTTGGGTGGACAATTAAAAGTGCTATATATTGATTAATTAGCCTAACCAAAGCCAATATGTAACTCCATTGAGAGATTTTGTGAGATGGAGAGTATTGTATCTCCTTTTGTTATCTCTCTTATTTATCCTCCATGAAAGCTAATAAGAAAATATTATCCCTTATCCTGTAGACGTAGGTCATGTTGACCGAATCACGTATATCTGTATATTCATCTCATCTATTTTCTACTTTATTTCTCAAATATACGTTTATATATTATTGTCTATGTTCCGCGCTTATCAAACACATTACCTAATTTAATTGATCCTTGTCTAGTTCCTAACAGCAAAGGTGAATGGGTAGATTTGCCAATCAGATATACACAATGGGTTATGTTTGGTGGATAGTTGGCTAGGCACAGTACGAAAATGGTCTAATAATCTTACCCTAAGTCCGTCAAAACCCAGCACAACATAAGAGGCATGAAGGTTGCTTACGGGTCGTGGTGCACTGGTGCCTATGCATGATCATTTTTGTTTGAAATTTAGCACGATCACAATAGGCCGATTCAAGTGTCAGGTTGTCATCCTGCTTAATTTTGATCAATTATTAAGAAGGCTCTCTAGGCTCTACCATGTATGACACGACGCGACACGACTAGTAAAAGTCAGACAATACGTACACAGCATGTACTCCATCTATGAAAGATTTGACACAAGACAAGCAAGACATACATGACCTTTTTTTTAGCTCATTCAAAGCATAACTCACTTAAACACGAGGCCATATGAGTATATGTTAAATACATATTAAATACGGGCCTGGGTCGCACCCGCAAATCAAGAGAGAGAATCCACTTCACAAGTCCAAAAGAGATTCCATTCCAAAACCATATGGCAATAGAAGGAGTGGTCCCTTAGCCTTATAAAGTGATTAACTCTCTCTTCTTCAACCATGTGGGACATTTACATGTGATGATACTTGAGAGGTCACTCTTCAACACAGTACTCCCTCTCACATGTAAGGTCTCTTTTAACTTTGTCTCATACTCCCTCTGTCCCATAGTACATGACACAGTCAAGCATTGCACCTATGTCAATGCACTAGTTTGACTTTATTTTTATATAATTAAATATTAATGAAAATTATTTTTTAAAATTATATTATGAAACTTTATATTAATACCTATCTAACAATATATTTTATGATAAAATATATTTTAATTACGTTAGTAAAAAAGGATGGTCAAATTTAATGCATGAACTGTTAAAAAAAGTCTAACGTCTCATGTATTATGGGATGGAAGGAATATGATTTTTTGGGCTAGAGTCACTACAACAAAATCAGTCTTTTATAGCGTTCTTTTTATAGCGGTTTTGTTGGTTCTGCTATAAAAATATGAAAATTAGATTAGAATAGCATTTCTAAAATGATCGTTGTTATATGTCATCTTTATTATAGCGGTTTCAAAAACCGCTGTTAAAACACAAATTTATTAAGAAATAAAAAAGAAAAAAAAAAATAACAAAAAAGAACCGCCATCACTTATACCCAATTTCCTCGCTAAAACCCTCACTCATCTTCTCAATCTCAACTACATACGCATTCGATTCGGGCTACCATAGAAACAATTTCACCAAAGCTATTTCACAAACTCAATTTCACTTAAACTCACGGAATTCTCATAAAAAACTGATTGGTGGGTTTTTAGCTGATTTCTGATTGGTGGATTTCTGAACATTCCGTGAGAGAAAGAAACGGTTAGCACACCCCTTTAGTTCAGACAGAGTATAAAGAGATTTAGCTGATTCGACATTTCTCGTCCCCCTCATTTCCACATATCATTTCCCTAATGGTTGGCAATAAGGCAGAACTCTGAATTATTTTTTTCTTCATTCTTTAGTTCAGACAGAGTATAATGTCATTGCTTACATGGATAAACCACTTGTGAAGACTGATATTGAGCTGCTTCACACATCAAAGGAGATAGCTCGTCGACCGGAAAAAGTATGTGATTTGTTTCCTTATAATCTTGTCTATTTTATATATAGTATATATAATTAGATAAAGCAACAAACATTGCCTTAAAAATACTTGTTTTTTCTTATGAAATTATCAGGCCTCTTGTAACTGAAGTTATAGGTAATTGCTCGGATATTCTAGAGTCCCCCCTCCTCCCCCCCCCCCCCCCCCCCCCCAATCAATTTGTTGGACTTATAATAACACATATGAATTGGATGGCTTTTCTTAAGTCTTGTTCTACTTGTCTCAACTGAATAATTGATTAGATTAAATGGTTTTATACAATATCATTTCTGCTGCTTTAACCTTAAATGCTACCCATGATACTCCCTCCCTTATGATGCTCCTGTTGCTCTCCTATGCTGCCCTTTGCAACTGCCTAATATGCTACCCCTGCTGCTCCCCTCTGCTGGCTACAATTTGCTGCTGTCACTGCATGATGCTGTGTGACATGTTATTAACAAAAAAAAAAAAAAAAAACAGTTTTAGTGTGTGTGAGTGTGTGTGTGTGTATGCAAGGAAAAATAGAGTATATGTGTTTTAGTATGAAAAGGATAGTATTATATGTGAGTGGATAACTTAAACCTCCATAAGCCCAAATAACGTACAAAAAGGAGAGGTCCAGGACAAATTTCAAATGTAAATGAATGCAGTAGTGTGGGTTGTAATAATCATGGTTTGTGATACATCGCCAATGCTAGCGATTAATTTTGAGTCTATACATTCATGTTTTTTAAACTAGCTAATTTTGTCCTAAAAGTATATTTAACTAATTAGCTCCTAAGTTAAAATGTGGATAAAGCTTGATTTACTTATTATCTCTTCATAAAAAAAATAAAGAAAAAAATAAAAAAGATTTAACTTTATGTGTGTATATTACTATCTTATACCCTTGTTAAAGCTGGGCATGGGCCGGGGTGGCCCGCATGCCGCCCGGCACGGCCCGATCCCAGGCCCGACACGACACGCCCATCGGATTTCGTGTCACGGGCCGTGCCACGGACAGCATCCTGGTTTTCCAGGCACGGCCCGGCACGAGCACGGCTGTGGCCTAGCATGCTGGCACGTTGGCCCGGCACATGACACGGTGTGAAGCAGCACGACGTTCGTGCCGGCCCGGCACGTGGACGTGCCTGCCGTTGCAAACGGTAAAATGACCGTTGCTCTCCAACGGCTCTTTGAGTCTTTGAGCTTAACGGCTCTTTTTGGCCAAAATGAGCAAATTTCCCTTCCCAAATTTTCTATAAATACCCAACTTCATTCGCTTCTCAAATCACAAATTCACAATCTCTTCTTCTAATCTCTTATATTCTCTAATAATCCTTAATCTCTTAAAATCTTTAATAATTCTCTTAAATTCTCTAATTATTTTCTTAATATCGGAAAAAATTAAAAAGTTCGTAATCGTAATTAGTGGAGCGTTGAAGCACGGTTGTAAGATCTAAAATAATCTTTAATTTATTATTGTTTTTATTGTTATTATTAGAATAATATTGTTTAATTGTTAATTGTTAATTGTTAATTGTTATTGTTATTGTTATAATTATTGTTATTAATTATTATTATTGTTACAATTATTGTTATTATTTATTATTGTTGTTATTGTTATTGTTATAATTGTTGTTATTAATTATTATTATTATTGTTATTTTTATTGTTAAAATTGTTGTCATTAATTATTATTATTGTTAATCAGTTTTTATTAAAAATCTAATTGTTAATTATGGCATCGAACAACCCATCATCCGGGGGGGGGGGGGGGAGGCCGACTTGGCCGTAGTAGTAGTTCTAGGGAATCACCTAATACAACGAGCCCCCAAGTTTCAAGTCCAACCAATGACCCCGGTTACTTCCCCCCAAGCTATGAGCCATTTAGGCACGATGGTACTTTCGGATCTTCCGGTTTTCAACCCTATAATATGTCGGGATTTCTACCACCAAACCAATTTCCACAATTCTCACAATTCGGTCAATTCCCACCTAATTATTTTAGTGATCAACAAAATTATTATTCTAGCCAAAGTAGCCAAGAAGATACCTAAATTGCCTCCAGTTCTACCCCTTCTACTACTACTAACCCAAACACACATCATGAATGGTTAACTGAAAGTGAGATGCTACTTTTGAAAAACCGAAATAGTGATGTATGGCGTCATTTCCTCCTAAATAAACCCCAAACACATGCAAAATGTAAAACATGTAATTGTGTATTCTTGGCACTATCTAAATCCGGGACGGGACACTTAAGTAGACACATGAGAACTTGTGCACAACCAGCTAGTGATCCAACCCAGCCAAAAATTTCCCAATACCATCCACACGGCTTTACCTACAACTATGAGAGGGATAGGGATGAACTAGGGAAAATGATAGTACACGCCGAACAACCTTTTCTTTTCTCGGAAAGTGACTGATAAGTGCATAATATACTATATTTTTAGTCCCCAATATTAGTCCAATGGCCGTTTTATATTTGTTATTTTATGATTTTATTTACTTTTATTATTTTAGAGTTTATTTTATTCTTTATTTTATTTTATAGCTATTTTTATAATAATTGGTACTTAATATCAAGTTGTGTGTTTTGATAGGAAAGCGAGAAGAAAAAGGAGTAGGATTGACAAATACAAATAATTAAAAGAAGCCCATTTGTTTTACTACTCCAAGTACCACCACGTGCCATCATCTAAAAGAAAGGAAAAAATGAGATAAGAAGAAAAGAAGAAAAGGGTGCGTGAAAACCAAAGCTCAGAATCCCACCTCTCAACTCCATGTTTATCTTCATCAAGCTCAAAATCTTTCTTCAACACACCCGAAATTCAAGGAAGTGATGAATTCTTATCCTATTTCAAAATTTTATCCTCCCGAACCCAAAAATCGATGGATGTTTTTGGGTATAAAAAAAACCCAATTATTCATACGGAGGACACACAACTTAGCCAATAATTATACAAAGAGTACGAGAGTTCGAGTGATTCCGTAATTGGGCAATTGGTGAAGAGAAGATAGCCATTGGAGGGCAGCTTAGTCTCGAATCCAAGGTAGAACAAGAACGAAGGTGAATCGCGGGGTCGAAGCCGGGTTTTTTCGGGTGTTCTTCAGAGTATATTTTATAAGTCTTCTTCTGAACTTATTTGTTCAATACTACTGATTTATTTGATGTTCTTTGCTAAATTGATGAATTACTTTTATTGGATTATTGATATTATAATTGATTCTTGATAGTATTATTTTTTCGATTTAATGGGTATTTGAAATTTGCTCGTTCTTGATTGTTAAATTTGCAATTTGACATTGATTGTTATCTATCATGTTATTAGTTGTGAATTATTGCTATCTATATGATTTGGCTTAGTTTGAATTATATAGTGAAGTAGTATCTAATTTTTATCAAGTCTGCGATTATGGTTTGGTTTAAATCAGAGGGCATTTTCAATCTAATTATTCTAAGCATTTATGTGATTAGTTTAATTAGGACTAATGAGGTCTCCTAGTTGTTAATGCTTCCGTATCTAACTCATGCAAGTTGCGAAATATTTGTGTTAATTAGATCGGTTTAGAGTCAATTTCGGCTTAGTCCAAATTTGGTTTCAAGTAAGAGAGATAGGGAGTCTTTGTTACTATAGTCTCTATGATTAGTCTAATCGTTAAATTGAGTATTTTGCAGAGTCGGTCAATTGTTGTTATCAATAGTTTAGTATGAGTAGTGCCGAAGTGGAATTGGTTAGTTGTGTCGTCAATAGTAGTTTATTAGTTTAGTTCCGTATTAGTTTTATTAGTTTAGTATTATCTAAAACAAACCCCCCCATTCTATGTACATATGTGAATAAATGTATAGTATGTAAGTTTTCGTAATATATCTAGTTAAACCTTGATTAAAGAGTTAAAAGTCTCCTCGTGGGATCGACCCTTGCTTACCCTTTTACTAGTTGTTAATATTTTTGAAGGTTAAGTTAGGAAAATAAATATTTAATTTTATACGGTAAACGACACGTATCAAATTTTGGCGCCGTTGCCGGGGAGATAAATTTTAATCTTAAAATCAAGATTTAATCTGTATTTCTAATTATATATCTGTGTGATAAGTTGTTACTTATATACGGAGAATGAATTAGCTAATTATAGCCTTCATGCTTACTGTTAGAGGTGTTAGTTACTCTGTTCCACTCATATAAAATCTTTTATACATGATCAATTTTTAGAAGTAATGTCTGCTTTTCATATACTTTCGTTTAACATCATGTTCATGCCTTCAAGTGTGTCAATTTTCTTCATTAGTTGTTAATTTCTTTTAAAGCCAAAATAAACATACATTAGGTGAGGTTGGGTACACTTTCGTTTAATTCTTAATTTAGCCCAACCTATTTGGAAACGGTATGTAGAGGAGTAGTAATTAGTGCATTGCTTGTTTCTTGGACAAATTTTTGCAAGTAATGATTATTGATTAACTCTCTTAATATTTTGGTGCATGGGTGCAGGATAAGTATATTTCAAGTTGCATAATACTTTTATTTTTGCACACATATGTTTCTTCTCCTTATGATAATTGAACTATGGTATTAATCTGATCACAACTAATGATAATAGGTAACACTCTCGTATTATGGTAGTGGGAATTAAAACAGTTACTAGGAGTTGTCATTAGATATTATCTTACATTGAGTTTCTGTTCAGGAATTAAGTAACTAATAAGCCACTATTGTCCTACACTAGGCTCTTACATATAACTTAAGAGTGGTATGTACTGAACACTTCACTAGTTAAGTCATCCTTGCCATTAATAAAGTATTAGTGGAATATACTGAACATTTTACTTTCTAATGATCTTTATAAGATTTGGTAGGATTAAGTAGTTGAGGTAGCTTAAAGTCACTCTCGAATTAAGTTGACTTATATTGATTTGCTATTAACGTGCTTGCATATATATGATTTCGTGCCTAACGGTGGGTTAGTCAGATAATGAACACTAATTTTAGTAGCATTGCTGAATAGATTTGTCACTATTTTATTGCTATTAAAGGTCAAGAGATAAATGGTTAAGTTGAGTTATAAAAACTCTGAAATGAACTGATTGATAGTAGTTAAAACTGTTGGTAGAGTATATTTTAGATGCAAATAGTATTAAGGACAAATTTGTTCTGTTAGGATTATTTTGCTTCAAGTGCATCTAAATTAACTCAAATTATATGTTTGTGATTCATGTTTAGTTCATGTTCTGCTTAGACTGCTCAAAATGATTCTTGTTCCAATTACATTTCTTTGCAAGTTTTAATCTCTTATGAGAATTCTAATAAAAAAAAAAAAAAAAAAAAAAAAAAAAAACTGTAAAAGAAGCTGAATTATGTATGCTATAAAGTGTTTTAGTAGTAAAATTTAACGAGTTAGTGTCCAAATATAAGCTGCTCTTGTGCTATTATAATCTCAAAATCAGAAGTAAAAGTAGTTTATAACCAATCTGGCTGAATAAGATTGACAATCAGTTAGCTTTATATGTTGAATTTGACAATGCATGAGTATTAGTATGCCTACTCCTACATTCAGGAAGACCAGTGTGTACTAGTTTCATATCTTTTTGAGTAAAAACTGAGCAGAATATATATATGACAACTGATTTAATGGGATTGCATAATGTCTTGGTCTGCCAAGCTAGGTTCGGATAATTCTTTAGCTTGCCTGATGTTGATTTGCTACTGGAAATTTAGCTACATGAAATCTAAAATGCATGTCTAAGTAATTGATCTCATTACAGCGTATCTGTTAAAGCTATAAATCCTGCCTAGTTATAAGCTGCTAAGTTCTGACCAGAAGGTGATTATTGAACTCTACATTTCTACACTAAAATTTCAAGCTCATCTTTCCATTAATTTCTGTTTTTCTTTATAGGTGTATGTACGCGTACGATAAAGAAGCTAGACTTCAGCGCATTAAAGCATACGTAGCTTCCTAAACGAGGCTGAACCATAGAAGCTGCTTCACATTTTCAGTGCTGAACCAGAACTTGAAATATAAGATCCATTACCGATTGAATACAAGAACATGGCAGAACGAACACTGAAGGAATTGGGAGCACCGAGAACAGGAGAAGACCCTCTGTGCATTGTCTTTCCAGAGCTAGAGAATCCTCTAAAGCCGAATTCAGGTTTCCTTAATCTTCTCCCTAAATTCTATGGGAACGCAGGTGAGAATCCTTATAGACACTTAAAAGAATTTAAGGTTGTATGTTCTTCCATGAATCCAGAAGGCATAGAACAAGAACATATTAGATTGCATGCTTTTCCTTTTTCTTTGCAAGATCCTGCCAAAGAGTGGCTATATGAGCAACTTTCACCTAGTTCTATTAATTCTTGGGCAAAAATGGAAAAAGTTTTTCTTGAAAGATTCTTTCCTGCGAGTCGTATTGGTTCTATTAGGAAGGAAATTTGTGGAATTAGACAAAATAATAACGAATCTTTATATGAGTATTGGCAACGTTTTAACAGATTTTGTTCATCTTGTCCCCAACACCAAATAAGTGAGCAATTGTTAATTCAATATTTTTATGAGGGGTTGTTACCTAATGAGAGAGGTATGATAGATGCATCAAGTGGGGGGGCATTAGTAGATAAAACTCCAACGAAAGCTAGAAAGTTAATTTCTAATATGGCTCAAAATACTCAACAATTTGGCAGTAGAAATGATGTTAAAAGAGTTAATGATGTGGACTTAAGTGGAATTAAAAATCAATTACAAGAAAATGCTCAACAAATTGCTGCTTTAACCACCTTAGTGTCTAAAATTGTTCCTGGTAATGAGTCTACAGCTAGAGTATGTGGTGTTTGTTCTGATTTTTCTCATGCTACTGATGAATGTCCTACTTTACTAAGTGAAGATGTTAATGCCTTAGGAGGTTTTCTTGGTCAATCTCAAAGGAAATATGACCCTTTTTCTAATACTTATAATGAAGGTTGGAAAGATCACCCTAACCTTAGGTATGGACCTAGACCACCATTTTCTCATTCTAATCAAACTAGGCCATTTGTTCAACAAAATTCACAACAACAATCTGGTTCATCATTAGAGGATTTAGTGAAACAATTGACTACCCAAATTGGACAAGTTCATAGTCAAGGTGTTCAATATCAAAAGAACTGTATAGATACTCAAATAGGTCAAATTAGCACTTCCCTTAGTAATTTGGAATCTCAGCTTTCGAATAGGCTCCCTTCTCAAACACTTGCCAATCCAAATGAACATGCTAAAGTTGTAACACTTAGAAGCGGTAAAGAGTTAAAGGAACCTAAAATAAAGAATAGAGAAATAGAGAAAGAGGTAGAAGTCAGACCTAAGGATGATGTAGCTAGTGAGAGTAAGGAAAAACATGATACAGAAAGTGAGAAAGAACTGGAAAAGAAGGGTAATTTTGATGTGAATTATGATGTTTCTCGTTTTAAAGATAATCCCCCTTTTCCTTCCCGATTTGCTAAAGCTAAGAAGGAGGCCCTTGACAATGAAATACTTGAAACATTTAGGAAGGTTGAAGTGAATATCCCTCTTCTTGATGCTATTAAACAGATACCTAAGTATGCTAAGTTTCTAAAAGAACTTTGTACTAACAAAAGGAACTTCAAGCCTCGTGAAAAGGTAAGAATGGGTGAGAACATATCTGCTGTAATTCAAAAGAAACTTCCTCCAAAATGCAAAGATCCTGGCATGTTTTCTATCCCATGTAAAATTGGTAACACTAAATTTGAAAGATGCATGTTAGACTTAGGTGCTTCAATTAATGTCATGCCTAAATCTGTATATGATACTTTGAATGTGGGTCCTTTGTCTAAAACTAATGTTGTTATCCAATTAGCTGATAGATCTAATGCATTTCCCATGGGAGTTTTGGAAGATGTACTTGTTCAAGTGAATGAACTAGTTTTTCCTGCTGATTTTTATGTGCTTGATATGGGTGATAGATCTGATAGTGTTCCTTTATTGTTGGGTCGTCCTTTTCTAAAGACTTCCAAAACTAAAATTGATGTTCATGAAGGTAATTTGACAATGGAATTTGATGGCGAAATGATTAAATTCAACATATTTGATGCTATGAAATACCCTAATGATATCAGTAATGTTAGTTCTATAGATTCATTTGATGCATGTGACTGGATGGCTCAGGATGTTTTTGATGAGTGGTGTAAAAATCTGTTTGAAAATGGTGTGTTTGGTGATTTTAAGGAAACAAAAATGGTTGATTCTTTTGTAGTTTCATCTGATGTGATTGAACCTGATGCTTGTGATGGATGTGAAAAATCTTTACCTTCTATTGTGCCTAAATTGATCCCTTCTACTGTTAAGCCACCTGAATTAGAATTGAAGCCCCTTCCTTCTAATTTGAAGTATGCTTATTTGGGTGATAATGAGACTCTACATGTGATCATTTCAAGTTCTTTAAATGAATCTCAAGAGACTAAGTTATTGAATTTGCTTAAAAATCACAAGGAAGCCTTAGGATGGACTTTAGCTGACATAAAAGGCATTAGTCCCGCCATGTGCATGCATAAAATTTTTCTTGAAAAAGATGCTAAACCAACTAGAGAGGCTCAACGTAGATTAAATCCTTCAATGATGGAAGTAGTTAAAAAGGAAATTCTAAAATGGTTAGATGCAGGAGTGATATATCCTATTTCCGATTCTCAATGGGTAAGTCCTATACATGTGGTACCTAAAAAGAGTGGAATAACAGTTGTCGAAAATAATAAAGGAGAATTTTTCCCCACTAGAGTTTCTAATGGATGGAGAGTTTGTATTGACTATAGGAAGCTTAATCAAGCTACTAGAAAAGACCATTTTCCTCTGCCATTTATTGATCAGATGTTAGAAAAACTTGCTGGACAATCTTTCTTCTGTTTTCTGGATGGTTATTCAGGTTACACACAAGTACCCATTGCCCCTGAAGATCAAGATAAAACCACTTTTACCTGTCCTTTTGGTACATTTGCTTTTAGAAGAATGCCTTTTGGTTTATGTAATGCTCCAGGAACTTTTCAGAGATGTATGATGAGCATATTTTCTGATTTAATCGAACATGATATGGAAGTTTTTATGGATGACTTTACTGTTTTTGGTGATTCATTTGATAGATGTCTTCATGCTTTAACTCGTGTTCTGAAGAGATGTGTTGAAACTAATCTTGTTTTGAATTTTGAAAAGTGTCATTTCTTGGTAGAACAAGGCGTGGTTCTTGGTCATATTGTAAGCGCTAAAGGTTTAGAGGTAGGCAAAACTAAAATTGAGGTGATAAGTTCTCTGCCTTATCCTAAATGTGTTCGCGAAGTTAGATCATTTTTAGGACATGCTGGTTTTTATAGGCGTTTTATAAAGAATTTTTCAAAAATTGCTTCACCTTTATGTGCTTTGCTTGCTAAAGATGCTGTTTTTGACTTCAATGATGAATGTAAGAAAGCTTTTGATGATTTAAAAGCCAAGCTGACAAGTGCTCCTGTTATTAGACCCCCTGATTGGTCGTTACCTTTTGAAATAATGTGCGATGCTAGTGATAAAACCATAGGAGCTGTTTTAGGCCAAAAGAAGGGTAAAGATTCTTATGTGATACATTATGCTTCTAAATCACTTGACCCTGCCCAAACACTGTGACTGAAAAAGAAATGTATGCTGTGATATTTGCTTTGGAAAAGTTTAGAACTTATTTACTTGGTACTCATGTGATTGTTTATTCTGATCATGCGGCTCTAAAATACTTGATAAAGAAGAGTCATTTAACACCTAAGTTACTTAGGTGGATGCTTCAATTACAAGAGTTTGATCTAGAAATTAGGGATAAAAAAGGTTTTGAAAATCAAGTTGCTGACCATTTGAGTAGGATTGTCCCTAGAGAAGATTGGCCTATGATAAGTGATTTTTTCCCCGATGAACAATTGCTTTCTTTATATCATGTTGAAACTCCTTGGTATGCCGATATGGTTAATTACTTAGTAACTAGGACGTTTCCCCCTTTTCTAACTAAGGCTCAAAGAGAAAAGATAAAGTCGGAATCTAAATACTACATAATGATCCTTATTTGTGGAAATCTTGCTCTGACCAAGTAATTAGACGGTGTGTAGATAAACCTGAACATGATTCTATACTAACATTTTGCCATAGTCTTGAAAGTGGAGGACACTTTGGTCCTCAAAGGACTGCTCATAAAGTCTTAGAATGTGGTTTGTATTGGCCTACTATTTACAAGGATGCTTATTTATTTTGTAAGGCTTGTGAACGCTGCCAGAAATCTGGAAATCTGTCTAAAAGAAATGAAATGCCCCAATCTGGAATTTTAATTTGTGAAATATTTGCTGTGTGGGGCATTGATTTTATGGGTCCCTTTCCCGTTTCTTTTGGTAATGTTTATATCATTCTTGCTGTTGATTATGTGTCTAAATGGGTAGAGGGGAAAGCTGTAATAACCGATGATGCTAAAACGGTTGTTAAGTTTGTTAAGAGTCATATATTTAATAGATTTGGCATGCCTAAGGCCATCATTAGTGACAGAGGAACCCACTTTTGCAATAAAACATTTGGTGCCCTTCTGGAAAAATACCACGTGACTCACAGAGTAGCCACTGCATACCACCCCCAAACAAGTGGACAGGTTGAATTGTCGAATAAGGAGATAAAGGGTATTTTGGAAAAAATGGTTAACCCAAGTAGAAAGGATTGGAGCCTTCGTTTAGGTGATGCCTTATGGGCATATAGAACTGCATATAAAACTCCTTTAGGAATGTCTCCATTTAGACTTGTATTTGGAAAAGCGTGTCACTTACCTGTGGAAATTGAGCATAAGTCTTATTGGGCAGTGAAGCAATGTAATTTAGACTATGATCTTGCTGGGAAAGAAAGGAAATTACAGTTACTTGAGTTGGAAGAATTGAGGTTAGAGGCATATGAAAATGCCAAAATCTATAAAGACAAGACCAAAGCCTACCATGATAAAAATATAGATAGAAAATCATTTCAGGTTGGCCAGAAAGTCCTTTTATTTAATGCTCGATTGAAATTATTTCCAGGAAAATTACAAACTAGATGGCTTGGCCCCTTTGTTGTTACTACTGCTTTTCCTCATGGTGCAATAGAAATCAAAGATTTCAATACTAACAAAATTTTCAAGGTTAATGGCCACAGGTTAAAACCATTCTATGATCAAGCTTATGTGACCATGATTGAAGACATTTTATTTAAACAAGCATGAAAAGAGAAATGTCGAGCCAACGACGTAAACCAAAGGCGCTGATTGGGAGGCAACCCAAGATTAATTATTTCTTTCCTTACAGTTTTATTTATTTATTTATTTTACTCATTTTATTTTATTTTTCAGCATTCACTCCCTACATATTTACGCTAAATTGTGCTTATAACTGAGTTGCAATTGCTGCACTAATTCACTCCTGTCTCACAGAATATTTTAGTTACAATAGTATATATTTTAACAACTGAAATTCACTATACACTGAGTTTTGCTAGTCGGTTTGCAAGAGCTTAGCTAGTTTAGTTGTGGCTTAGAATATCTCATTTGGTGTCAATGTTCTGTCCAGAATTGCAACCTTTCTTATCATCACAGTCTTATTATAAAGTGCACTGACATTCTGCCTTAATTATGCCTTTCCAGGAATTTGCTTCTTCTTGTGTTGTGTACCAGATTCACAAAATGGTAGATTCCTGCTACAACTTTGGACATATTCATAAATCTTCGATACTTTAAAATCTGTTGCTCAATGAATAGAGCAGAAGCACAACAATAAAGAAAATAAAGGCAGACCAACCCGAGTCATCAAAACAGAGAACAAAACCAGCTAAGTTTCTTCTCCTTTTTCTTCATTTCTTTTTCATCGAGGACAATGAAAAGTTTAAGTGGGGGGGCCACTGTTGTTTTCTATATTTTGGATGTTGGGATGTTAGTTTGGGTTACAATTTTAGCAACAAAAAGTTGTTTGCCTATGACCATTTTTAGGGGAGATGCTGCCGATTTTTTTTTAGATATTGGAAATTTTGAGCTAATAGAAGTAAAATACAAAAAAGAAAAAAAAAAGTGTTTTTATTCTCCGGTATTCTTGATAACCTATCCTTTAAGCTTTTGTCATTTCCCTCTGAAAATGCAACTAATTCATGTTTTGAAAATGATTTAGGCATTTAAAACAGTTTCTACGCCACATCAACCAAAAAGCCTATCCCTGTTATTTTCCATGAATAAATCACAAATGTACCTCTACTTACACATCAAATGGTTAACCTTTTTGAAATTAGTAGAGCATATTAAAGTGTGATGTAAAAATGGTTGTTGATATTCAGTGGTGATACATACAGTACTATAAAGTGAAAGTTTCAATATAAGGCTCTGCGTACCAATGATTGGGTATATGTGTTAATCAATTCAAATATAGTGAATTACAAAAAAAAAAAAAAAAAAAAAAAAAAAAAAAAAAAAAAAAATATTCAAACCCAGTTATGTACGTGTGATGTTTCTATCTCTTGCTTGTGTAGTTTGAGTAAGTAGATCGTTAGGGGAATCTTAAAGCCTAGTGCCTTGGACCAACTGGACCGGGAGCCACTGGTCGAACACTCGTTACATGGACTACTCAACAGAGATTGAACATTAAGAGTCATGAAACTTACAAAAAAAAAAAGAAAAAAAAAAGTAGAAAAAAAAAGAAGGGGGCAGTGTACATAAAAGTTCAATGTGCACTCAAGAAATATTTGTTATGAGGAATATTTGATTTGGTTGTAATCATACTATGCTCTACTAATTTATAGAATATTACCACCACAATCTCATAATTATTGTCATATCCCTCATTTACCTAAACCCCATTAATATCCTTGAAAAGTCCTAATGATTTGAGACATGTAAATTGGTATAAGCAAGGAGGGTGAGAAATGATTAAAGTCAATCGAGCAAGTTGTCAAATTTTAATTGGAGAAACTTCTATAAAGATGAGTTTTTTTTTTTAAAAAAAATTGTTTACTGCTATTTAGTTGAGAATTTCTGAATAACAGACTTTGTGGGTATGTTTACTGCAAACCCTCACGAGATCGTACTCATCCTCTAGGGGAACTTAGTGGTTTAAAGGGCTTATCGCACGTGCTAAGTGTAACCGTGATTCATACGACAATGAGTTAGGTTTATTGCTTTTATAGGTTAGTTTTATTTAGTTTGTTCGAGGGCGACCAAAGACTAAGTGTGGGGGAATTTGATAAGTGCATAATATACTATATTTTTAGTCCCCAATATTAGTCCAATGGCCGTTTTATATTTGTTATTTTATGATTTTATTTACTTTTATTATTTTAGAGTTTATTTTATTCTTTATTTTATTTTATAGCTATTTTTATAATAATTGGTACTTAATATCAAGTTGTGTGTTTTGATAGGAAAGCGAGAAGAAAAAGGAGTAGGATTGACAAATACAAATAATTAAAAGAAGCCCATTTGTTTTACTACTCCAAGTACCACCACGTGCCATCATCTAAAAGAAAGGAAAAAATGAGATAAGAAGAAAAGAAGAAAAGGGTGCGTGAAAACCAAAGCTCAGAATCCCACCTCTCAACTCCATGTTTATCTTCATCAAGCTCAAAATCTTTCTTCAACACACCCGAAATTCAAGGAAGTGATGAATTCTTATCCTATTTCAAAATTTTATCCTCCCGAACCCAAAAATCAATGGCTGTTTTTGGGTATAAAAAAAACCCAATTATTCATACGGAGGACACACAACTTAGCCAATAATTATACAAAGAGTACGAGAGTTCGAGTGAGTCCGTAATTGGGCAATTGGTGAAGAGAAGATAGCCATTGGAGGGCAGCTCAGTCTCGAATCCAAGGTAGAACAAGAACGAAGGTGAATCGCGGGGTCGAAGCCGGGTTTATTCGGGTGTTCTTCAGAGTATATTTTATAAGTCTTCTTCTAAACTTATTTTTTCAATACTACTGATTTATTTGATGTTCTTTGCTAAATTGATGAATTACTTTTATTGGATTATTGATATTATAATTGATTCTTGATAGTATTATTTTTTCGATTTAATGGGTATTTGAAATTTGCTCGTTCTTGATTGTTAAATTTGCAATTTGACATTGATTGTTATCTATCATGTTATTAGTTGTGAATTATTGCTATCTATATGATTTGGCTTAGTTTGAATTATATAGTGAAGTAGTATCTAATTTTTATCAAGTCTGCGATTATGGTTTGGTTTAAATCAGAGGGCATTTTCAATCTAATTATTCTAAGCATTTATGTGATTAGTTTAATTAGGACTAATGAGGTCTCCTAGTTGTTAATGCTTCCGTATCTAACTCATGCAAGTTGCGAAATATTTGTGTTAATTAGATCGGTTTAGAGTCAATTTCGGCTTAGTCCAAATTTGGTTTCAAGTAAGAGAGATAGGGAGTCTTTGTTACTATAGTCTCTATGATTAGTCTAATCGTTAAATTGAGTATTTTGCAGAGTCGGTCAATTGTTGTTATCAATAGTTTAGTATGAGTAGTGCCGAAGTGGAATTGGTTAGTTGTGTCGTCAATAGTAGTTTATTAGTTTAGTTCCGTATTAGTTTTATTAGTTTAGTATTATCTAAAACAAACCCCCCCATTCTATGTACATATGTGAATAAATGTATAGTATGTAAGTTTCCGTAATATATCTAGTTAAACCTTGATTAAAGAGTTAAAAGTCTCCTCGTGGGATCGACCCTTGCTTACCCTTTTACTAGTTGTTAATATTTTTGAAGGTTAAGTTAGGAAAATAAATATTTAATTTTATACGGTAAATGACACGTATCAGTGACCCATTTAACACTTACATTAACAAAGCACTACAACCCCAACATAAAAGAATCTCTAGGAAAATCGTTCGTTCCGCCGCCATGAAAAACTTTCTAGAGTAAAAATTGCGGTTACAAGCCGAATTGAGTAACCTTAACTGTAGAGTGTCTTTGACAGCCGATTTTTGGGATAGTGGTTATAAATATCACTATTTATGTGTGACTTTCCATTGGGTAGATGATCAATGGTTGTTACAAAAAAGAATAATACATTTCAAAATGCTAGAATACCCACACACCGGCATTAACATTGCTCACCATTTAATGGAAGCAATAAACGAATACAACCTTCGAGATAAAATGATATCTATGACTTTTGACAATGCAACCTCTATGACATACACAGCTAATCTTGTCAAACAAAACTTAACTGATGTAATATTAGACGGTGATGCTCTTCATACTAGATGTGTTTGCCATGTACTTAACTTGTGTGTACAGGATGGAGTTCGGGCAATTGGCCCATACTACAACAAAATCAGAGATGCTATTATGTCTATTAATATCTCAAACATGAGGTACCAAGAATGGAATAATTTTCTAAGACAACAAAAGATAAGGGTAATAAAAATCAAAACCGATTGCCCAACTAGGTGGAATTCCACCTATGACATGTTAACCAAGGCAATTGAGTACAAGAATCCGTTAACAATATTTTACAACCAAAAATTTCCACAAACTGCTTTATTAGTACAATTGTGAAAGATATATGCAATTTTTACAGTTATTATATAACATGACGTATTGTTTTTCTTCTGTTTACAATGCTTATGCTCAAAACTTTCTTTCTAATGCATGTTTACTCGCCCAACTTTTCGCTGCTCAGCGCAACCAAAGTGATTATGATCAGTATCTTCCAGCAATGGAAACAAAGTGGCGTAAATATTATAGTGAAATTCCTTTGATTTATATTTTTGCATCCATATTAGATCTTAGGCAAAAGTATGAAAACACATTTATGTTAGTTGACATTTATTTTCAATGCATGAATCTTGACGATGATGTAGAAACCTATAAGACTCATGTGAAGGATCAGTTTTTTGCTTTATATAGTCTATGAAATCAAATATGGCACCGTTCCTCGCTCAGGCCCTTCCCAGCCATCCAAAAACGTAAGTAAGAAGGCCAAACATTTATTTTCACAAGCTACTAACTTGATTTCAAGGTTTTTAGGTGATTCATCAATCAGGAGAACACAAAGTGACGTCTTGGAGTTGCAGATGTACCTGAGTTACGACTTCACCAAAGGCATGGACGACGATGTGATAAACAGCCTCGACCTCCTTGCATGGTGGAAACAACAAAGCGGGAAGCATCCAACTTTGGCGGCAATGGCACGAGACATTCTTGGTATCCAAGCCTCCTCTGTTGCCTCCGAACGAGTTTTCAGCGCGGGCGGAAGGGTTCTGGACGATAGAAGAACAAGTCTAAAACCCGAAACACTAGAAATGTGAGTGTGTTTCAAAGATTGGTTGGATGCGGAAAATTGCTCACAAGACCATTCTTACGAGGAAAACGACAACGATGAAGGAACCTCCGCTTCCGACCGTTCGGGTTCGACTAGTTCCCAATTTATCCAACTAGCCGATGAAGCCGAAGTTGAAGCCGAAGACAAAGACGAAGACGAGCAACAAGAAGAAAAAGAATAGACAATTTTTGTATATTGTACGATTTTAATCATTATCGTTTATCAATATTATCATTATCCAATTTTTGTTTAATACCATCATTGTACGATTTTTTTCATTGTTATCATTGTACAATTTTCTCAACTCAAGTAATAATAATGTGAAGTATGCATTATTCACATCCAAAGTCCAATTTGCCTTTTTTCTCTGTTTTGTTATAATTTGTATATTAATATAAAAAAAAGAAAATTATACCAATTAATAATACAAAAAAATATTTAATAAATCATAAACATTAAATTTTAAAGTAATAGTATAAACTAAATATATAAATATAAATATTGAATATAAAAAATAATAAAACATAAATGTTCAACTTAATTTATTTTATAACTTATAATTTTATAACTTATAAGTTATAAGTTATAATTATAATTTTATAACTTATAAGTTATAAACTTATAAATTTATAACTTATAAAAGTTATAAGTTATAAGTTATAATTATAATTTTATAAATTATAGGTTATAAAATTATAACTTATAATTATAATTTTATAATTTATAAGTTATTAACCATTAACAAAAAAAAATAAAAAAAAAATATGTACACAAGGCCAGCACGCAGGCCGGCACGGCACGAGCCTGCCAGGCACGAGGGTCGTGCCAGGCCGTGGGCTGGCCTTTGAAATTGGCCGGCACGAAAGGGCACAAAAACCTAGGCACGCCGGTGACCGTGGCTCGCCAGGCACGGCCCGCGGTGGCCCGGCACGGCACGATGCCCAGGTTTAACCCTTGTATTGTTATTTTGCAGGATCTTTTAAATTTCTAGTTTCGAAGTTACGATCAAATTCAAATTGAAGAATTCTTTGTAGCCTAACAAGTGTAGTAGGTTGAAGGAATCAACAAATTTCTATGCATAATATATGTATGTGTATTAGCGTATTTTGATTTATTGTCATTTTCTTAGAACATAATTCTTAAACTATTAGTTTTATTACGGTGATGACCTTGTAAAACTCTTTAATAGATCTTGAATATTAATACAAAACTACCATTGTTTTACATATTAATAATTGTACAATATTTGATATTTTGGAATTTTAAGTTGTGCTAGAAGAAATTGCTGGAAAAAAATATTGTTTTAAAATTATTATTTTTTAAAAAATTGAAATATGG